ATATAGGTGTTGTGTTAGTTGTATATAACTATATATACAACGTATATATATATATATATATATATATACGTTGTTATATATGATCGAAAAAGTAAGATTAATAATTCTAACACGAACTTTCTCAATATTTCTTATGTTTCCTTTCACTTATTACATTTTATTACATATTACATTACAAACTTATTACATTTTCAAAGACTTTAGTTTACACACACAAGTGTAAACATGCTAATCCGTCATACTTATACTCGCGTTTGGGTGAGGTGATATGGTGCAACAGTTCTGGATGAGGTGAACAAACTTCTTGACAAACAAAACAGAACACGAAACTATGGGTATTGGATATGAGAACATAAGAACAGAAGTAACTGCAGGGGGGCCTATTGGCCCATACTTCCTCTTGATGCTTCTATATTGGTTCGGTGTCTTGCAGTGGGTAGAATATAGTTGTGCTATAATTGGCTGTTGATTGCTGGTGTTGACTTTTTGATGTGTAGTGCCTCGCAGATGTCAAGCCGCCTGCTATCGCTGCTATCGATGATTTCTGTGTTGTTTGTTAAGATTTCTCTGGTGATAGTCTGGTTGTGAGAGGAGATCATATGTTCCTTTATGGAGCCCTGTTGTTTATGCACTGTTAATCGCCTGGAAAGAGACGTTCTTGTCTTGCCTATATACTGAGTTCTTTGGGGCTTACAGTCCCCAAGAGGGCATTTGAAGGCATAGACGACGTTGGTTTCCTTCAAGGCGTTCTGCTTGGTGTCTGGAGAGTTTTCATGAGTAGGTTAGCCGTTTTTTTTTCGGGGGGGGGGGGGGGGAGAGTTATATTAAATCGTCAATTGTATTTTCTGATTTTTGTCTGTAGGGATAACGTTCCTATTAACAATATCTTTCAGGACCGTTTCCTCCGTTTTATGTCGTAAGAAAGTTCCTGTAAAATAGTCTAATAGGGGGTACAGGTGTTGTGTTAGTTGAGTCTTCAGAGGTTGCATGGAGTTTTACCTTTCTTTTTATGATGTCTTCAACAAAACCATTAGAGAACAAGTTGTTGACTAGGACCTGCCTTACCCTAAAGAGTTCTTCATCGACTTGCTTCCATCCTGAGCTGTGGCTGAGAGCACGGTTGACATAAGTATTAACGACACACCTCTTGTACACGTCTGGGCAGTCACTGTTGGCATTGAGGCACATTCCTATGTTGGTTTCCTTAGTCTACACTAACAATTACCATCAACAGTGAAAAGAAACATAAGAAATATTGAGAAAATTCGTGTTAGAATTATTAATCTTACCTTTTCGGTCATATTTAACAACACATGTTTACAAGAAAGACTGCTATATATATATATATATATATATATATATATATATATATATATATATATATATATATATATATATATATATATATATATATATATATATATATATATATATTCTGGGTTGATTATCTTATCGTTCGGGCTTCTATCCCTCTGGCGGGTGCTCTTGCACCTTTATTTGATTGGAAAGGATTTCTCCAAATATCTTTGTTCTAGGTAAACTAAAGGATAATTAACTGTAGAATTTATGAAAATAATTTAAACTTTACACAAGGATTCGAACCTACATGACAACAGTGCCATAGTCACTGCTACAGTGCAACAGTGCCCAACACTGTTACAGTACAACAGTGCCCTTCACACTGCTACAGTGCAACAGTGCCCTACACACTGCTACAGTACAACAGTGCCCAACACACTGCTACAGTACAACAGTGCCCACACACTGCTACACAGCTACAGTACAACAGTGCCCTGCTACAGTACAACAGTGCCCAACACACTGTTACATTACAACAGTGCCCAACACACTGCTACAGTACAACAGTGCCCTTCACACAGCTACAGTACAACAGTGCCCAACACACTGCTACAGTACAACAGTGCCCTTCACACAGCTACAGTACAACAGTGCCCTACACACTGCTACAGTACAACAGTGCCCTTCACACAGCTACAGTGCAACAGTGCCCTTCACACAGCTACAGTGCAACAGTGCCCTACACACTGCTACAGTACAACAGTGCCCAACACACTGTTACATTACAACAGTGCCCAACACACTGCTACAGTGCAACAGTGCCCTACACACAGCTACAGTACAACAGTGCCCTACACACTGCTACAGTACAACAGTGCCCATCACACTGCTACAGTACAACAGTGCCCTACACACTGCTACAGTACAACAGTGCCCAACACACTGTTACAGAACAACAGTGCCCAACACACTGTTACAGAACAACAGTGCCCAACACACTGTTACAGAACAACAGTGCCCAATACACTGTACAGTACAACAGTGCCCAACACACTGCTACAGTACAACAGTGCCCAACACACTGCTACAGTACAACAGTGCCCAACACACTGCTACAGTACAACAGTGCCCAGCACACTGCTACAGTGCAACAGTGCCCAGCACACTGTTACAGAACAACAGTGCCCTTCACACAGCTACAGTGCAACAGTGCCCTACACACTGCTACAGTACAACAGTGCCCTACACACTGTTACATTACAACAGTGCCCAATACTGTTACAGCACAACAGTGCCCAACACACTGCTACATTACAACAGTGCCCAACACACTGCTACAGTACAACAGTGCCCAGCACACTGCTACAGTACAACAGTGCCCTTCACTGTTACAGCACAACAGTGCCCAATACTGCTACAGTACAACAGTGCCCAATACTGCTACAGTACAAGAGTGTCCTTCACACTGCTACAGCACATTAGTGTCCAACACACTGCTACAGCACAACAGTGCCCAACACACTGCTACATTACAACAGTGCCCAATACAGTACAACAGTGACCAACACACTGCTACATTGTAACAGTGCTCTACACTGCTACAGTACAAGAGTGTCCTTCACACTGCTACAGCACAACAATGTTCTACACGCTCCTACATTACAGCAGTGCCAACACAATGCTGCAAGACAACAGGGCCCAATACTGCTAAAGAACAACAGTGCCAACATACTGCTAAAGTATAAGTGTTCTACACTGCTACAGTGTAACAAGTCTCTACCCACCACTACAAGTTCTTACTCAGTACTTCACAATTCTACAGTTTAATTTAAACTACTACATAGTCCTATGCAATGCAAGACAGTTTTATTCACTTTTCTATATTAACTGTTTTTTTGAGTCCTTAGAGTCTTGTTTCATGTATGGAGACTCGCTGATCACGTCTGCTTAATTGTAAAGATTCGGTGATCATTCCTGCTTATTGCACAGGGACTTTCTGGGCACTCCTGTATACTGTATGGAGGCTATGTCCATTATTTGTCAATGCAAGGAGCACTTCTCAATCCTGTTAATTGTGAGTAAACTCGCCAATCTCTTCTCTTTGCTGTATAGAAACTCGAAAATCATTCCTGTTTAATGTGAGGAAACTCGTAAATCATTCCTGTTTAATGTGAGGAAACTCGTAAATCATTCCTGTTTAATATGAGGAAACTCGTAAATCATTCCTGCTTAATATGAGGAAACTCGTAAAACATTCCTGTTAAATATGAGGAAACTCGTAAGTCATTCCCATTTAATATGAGGAAACTCGTAAATCATTCCTGCTAAATATGAGGAAACTTGTAAATCATTCCTGTTTAATATGAGGAAACTTGTAAATCATTCCTGTTTAATATGAGGAAACTTGTAAATCATTCCTGTTTAATATAAGGTATCTCACTGATAATGTGAAGTGACGTCCTGTTTAGTGTCAGAAATGTGATTTAACTAATTACTCACTCATGATATTGATATTGAAATACTAATACTCTTAAATATTTATTAACAAAAGCAGATGAAGTTTTCTTGCACTGAGACATAGAAACTTTTCTTTGCTAGTATATAAAGAGAGAGACAGTATGCTTCCCAGGTGTGACCCCCCCGCCTGTGTCTCGCCTTCTGTATCTCCTTTGTCTGTCCATCTGCATCGCTCCATCACCCTCTGTCTATCCCACGAGAAGCAATCTGTCTTCTTTTGTCCTTGTCGGGGAAATGAATCAATAACATCTTGTGTTGTTGTTTTGGAGAAATGGTTGGTGGTGAGATGCTCCTAATACCGTTATCCCTCTCGCATTTGGGATCAAAGGAGGCATTTAGTGGTGGATTTAAAACCAAAAACGAATGTCTGATCCAGCAAGAGAATTTTTGAAGGACTTATGATTGGTCTCAGCCTCACAGGGAGGTAATGAGGTATTCCTGAGAGATATTATAAAGTCTCTATGCCCACAGGAGGGTTCTTGAGTAAAGTCTCCACGCCCACAGGGAAGTTTTAAGTAATGTCTCTACGCCCACAGGAGAGTTCTTAAGTCTCTACGCTCTCAGGAGAGTTCTTAAGTATCTAGGCCCACAGGAGAGTTCTTAAGTATCTACGCCCGCAGGAGAGTTCTTAAGTATCTACGCCCACAGTAGAGTTGTTAAGTATCTAATGCCCACAGGACAGTTCTTAAGTCTCTACGCCCACAGGAGAGTTCTGAAGTATCTACGCCCACAGGAGAGTTCTTAAGTATCTACGCCCACAGGAGAGTTCTGATGTACGCCCACAGGAGAGTTCTTAAGTATCTACGCCCACAGGAGAGTTCTTAAGTATATACACCCACAGGAGAGTTCTTATGTACGCCCACAGGAGAGTTCTTATGTACGCCCACAGGAGAGTTCTTAAGTATATACACCCACAGGAGAGTTCTTATGTACGCCCACAGGAGAGTTCTGATGTACGCCCACAGGAGAGTTCTTAAGTATCTACGCCCACAGGAGAGTTCTTATGTACGCCCACAGGAGAGTTCTTAAGTATCTACGCCCACAGGAGAGTTCTTATGTACGCCCACAGGAGAGTTCTTATGTACGCCCACAGGAGAGTTCTTATGTACGCCCACAGGAGAGTTCTTATCTACGCCCACAGGAGAGTTCTTATATTAAAGACTTTGTCTTCTCTGTGCCCGCAGGAAGCCGTGCCGACCTGATGGACCGTCGAGGGGTGGCTAACGTCTCCACTATATACGGGGAGATGGTCGCTGACAGCAGCCCAGAGACCTCCCACGCCAGCGCCTTCGTGGACACCAGCCACATCACCCACGCCACCCACGCCCATGTGGAACCAGTCCACGCCCACATCGAGTCCCAGCCACACGCCCACCAGTCCCATTATATCCAGCAGGAGTACTCTTCATCCCCCATTCCCGTTGACCTTCGCCACTCTGTTTCCTACCACCACATGCCCCCAGCTCCCACCTCCCTCCCAACTCCCATGTACACCCACGCCCACGCAATGCCCATCTCCCACACCCAAACGCTGCCCCACCCACGCTCAAGCCACACGAGGAATCATAACGCCAACGCGGCCACGCTACAGAGGAGGAGTAGCCTCTATATGGTAAGGCTTCCCCATGATTGTGGTGACAGAGCTTGCAGTGATTCTTTATACTAACCAACGAGATTGTTTACAATACCTGAGGGGGATTGTTAACAATACCTCAGTGGGATTGTTTGGTTATTGTTGATAATACCTCAGGGGACTGTTTACAATACCAAACTGAAGTGTACACAGTAACTCGTGCAATAGTTGTGTTATTTAGAGTTGGGTGTGATTTGTGTTCGTTATCAGATCACGCACATGCGTTCGTTAGTGTGTTTCCGAGTACCTATTGGCTTGTGTGCGTGTGTGTGTGTGTATTCACCTAGTTGTATTCACCTGAGTGTGTATTAGTGTGTGCGTGGTGTGTGAGAAGAAAAAAGTAGTTAGTAAACAGTTGATTGACAGTTGAGAGGCGGGCCGAATGAGCAAAGCTCAACCCCCGCAAACACAACTAGGTGAATACCTACTTGTGCTTGAGGGGATTGAGGTTTGGCTCTTTCAGCCCGCCTCTCAACTGTCATTCAATCAACTTTTTTTTCACACACACACGCACACACCACACCCAGGAAGCAGCCCGTAGCAGCAGTCTAACTCACAGGTACCTATTTACTGCTAGGTAACAGGAGCATCAGGGTGAAAGAAACTATCCATTTGATTACGCTTCCACCTAGAATCGAACCCGGAACCTCAGGACTACGAATACGAAACGCTGTCCACTCAGCTGTCAGTCAGCTGTGTGTGTGTGTGTGTGTGTGTGTGTGTGTGTGTACTCACTTAGTTGTACTCACCTAGTTGTGTTTGCGGGGGTTGAGCTCTAGCTCTTTGGTCCCGCCTCTCAACCGTCAATCAACAGGTGTACAGATTCCTGAGCCTATCGGGCTCTATCATATCTACACTTGAAACTGTATGGAGTCAGCCTCCACCACATCACTTCCTAATGCATTCCATTTGTCAACCACTCTGACACTAAAAAAGTTCTTTCTAATATCTCTGTGGCTCATTTGGGCACTCAGTTTCCACCTGTGTCCCCTTGTGCGTGTTCCCCTTGTGTGTGTTCCCCTTGTGTTAAAAAGACTCTTTATCTACCCTATCAATTCCCTTCAGAATCTTGAATGTGGTGATCATGTCCCCCCTAACTCTTCTGTCCTCCAGCGAAGTGAGGTTTAATTCCCGTAGTCTCTCCTCGTAGTTCATACCTCTCAGCTCGGGTACTAGTCTGGTGGCAAACCTTTGAACCTTTTCCAGTTTAGTCTTATCCTTGACTAGATATGGACTCCATGCTGGGGCTGCATACTCCAGGATTGGCCTCACATATGTGGTATACAAAGTTCTGAATGATTCTTTACACAAGTTTCTGAATGCCGTTCGTATGTTGGCCAGCCTGGCATATGCCGCTGATGTTATCCTCTTGATATGTGCTGCAGGAGACAGGTCTGGCGTGATATCAACCCCTAAGTCTTTTCCTTTCTCTGACTCCTGAAGAATTTCCTCTCCCAGATGATACCTTGTATCTGGCCTCCTTCTCCCTACACCTATCTTCATTACATTACATTTAGTTGGATTAAACTCTAACAACCATTTGTTCGACCATTCCTTCAGCTTGTCTAGGTCTTCTTGAAGCCTCAAACAGTCCTATTCTGTTTTAATCCATCTTATAATTTTGGCATCGTCCGCAAACATTGAGAGAAATGAATCGATACCCTCCGGGAGATCATTTACATATATTAGAAACAAGATTGGACCGAGTACAGAGCCCTGTGGGACTCCATTGGTGACTTCACGCTAATCAGAGGTCTCACCCCTCACCGTAACTCTCTGCTTCCTATTGCTTAGATACTCCCTTATCCACTGGAGCACCTTACCAGCTACACCTGCCTGTCTCTCCAGCTTATGTACCAGCCTCTTATGCGGTACTGTGTCAAAGGCTTTCCGACAATCCAAGAAAATGCAGTGTGTGTGTGTGTGTGTGTGTGTGTGTGTGTGTGTGTGTGTGTGTGTGTGTGTGTGTGTGTGTGTGTGTGTGTGTTTGTGTGTGTGTGTGTGTGTGTGTGTGTGTGTGTTTGTGTGTGTGTGTGTGTGTGAGTGTATGGGTGGTTCTTTCATTTGTTATGACTGTTTATTTGCCTGAGTTTGATGATATAAATGTGCTCTGAGGATATAAACATTAGCTCTTCAGTTTCAATATTAAAAAAACAAACATTTTATTTGAAGTTATGCTCTCGAAGAATGTGTTTCCCTTTTGCTCTCATTCATTCTCATTCCTCTTTCCAATATCTCTATAGTTTTCCCCAAAGAATGCATATTCAAAAGGCTTATTTCCCCGCTCTTCCTAATCAATTGTAGTGTGGAGGAGTCTAGATCTCTCAGTACTCCTGCACTGATCACTAGTCCCATAAGGAACAGGTACTGTGTTATGTCTTATCAGGTTCTCATGTCGCTTTGTTGTTCTTTAAGTCATTCGTTTCATCTGATTTAGTTGAAGTTTAGAAAGCAACTCAGTCAAGTAAATAGGCTGGTATCTCCTGACAACCCGTTCTCGACTCAAGTCCAGTCCATCCTGCGGTCGACCCCACAGACGCTTTCATAAATTTTTACATGATGTTCATTCAAAACAGGAACTTTCTCAAATATAAATTAATATTTTAATATAATAGCATATTGTGCATATATAGGCATAGGTTAGGTGTTTAGGTTCTGTTGGCGATTCTTTGTATTTGTAGTACGTGGGTGAAGCATTTACAGCGTTGTGGTTCGAACAAAATTCGGCAGTGAAGCACTTGTTCCGGATGTGTTCGAATGTCAACAGTTGTGAGTCGTGTGTAAATTGTTTTCATTCATAAACAGGGGGTTTGGCGGGTGCATGGAATCACTTTTGGGTCTTTGTTCGGCGGACGGGCTGCTCCTGAACCTATAATTATGCAGCCCGTCCTCCAAACAAAGATCCAAAAGTGATTCCATGCACCCGCCAAACCCCCTGTTTATGAATGAAAAGCGGTTTACACACGACTCACAACTGCTGACGTTCGAACATATCCGGAACAAGTTCTTCACTGACGAATTTTGTTCGAATCACAACGCTGTAAATGCTTCACCCACGTACTACAAATACAAATAATCGCCAACAGAACCTAAACACCTAACCTAACCTAACCTATGCCTATATATGCACAATATGCTAATATATTATAATATTAATTTATACTTGGGAAAATTCCCGTTTTGAATGAACAGCATGTTAAAATTTATGAATGTGTCTGTGGGGTCGACCGCTGGATGTAATGGACTTGAGTCGAGGACGGGTTGAATTATGAGGTACCGAATTGATTCATGTGTGTCTTGTGGAACTTTACGTTCAGAAACTTTTGGGTTCATCGGTGTTCAGTTGGTTATGCGTATTTCTAAGGAATTTAGGGATCCGGGTTCGATCCCATTTTAATTTCCTCGTTATATGATAGTAGATACGTTAGGTATTGTGATTTTATTAACAATTTCAATATGTTTGGGTACTTGCATAGTACGTGTACTCACCTGTTCACGTTTATTGTGCCTGCAGGTTCATGCATTAGCTCTTGGACCCGGCATTTCTACCCGCCGGCTATTTAAATCAACTAACTCCTGTCCTAATTCCCAATCACCTCTACTTTTAAAATGATGGATGGTGTTAACCTGCTTCTTAAGTTCGTTCCATTTTCCCACAACCCTTACGTAAAACTCGAACTTTCTAACACCTTTATATCTCATCTGGGTTTCTAGTTTCCATTCTTGCTCCCTAGTTCTTTAGGAATTCACTGTGAACATTTCATCTATTTCTACACAGTCAATCTAACGAAGTTTTTTTTTTACATCTCTATCTTGTCTCCCCTTTATCTCCTTTTTAGGTTCTCAGGTAATTTTTTTTTTCAGTTGCTCTTCATATCCCAATTCTGGGACGAGCCTCGTCGCAAACTTCTGAAGATTTTCCAACTTCCTTATCTATTTTTTTTCTGGTGAGGATGGGGGGAAGGTCAGTGGTGGGGCGGCATATATACAGGCTAGGCTCACATAGGCAGAGTAAAGCTCCTCTGTAAATGCCTCCTCACTGATGTTCCTGAGTGATGCTCTAACTTTTACTTGCGATGAGATTAGCTGCTGAGAGTGTTCTGTTTAGGTGTGCCTCTGCATTAAGAATTAGTGTTACTTGCACTCGCAGGTCTCTTTCTCGAGTAGTCACAGGTAAGTAGTTTCCCTTCATTGTGAACGCTCCCTTTGGTCTCCTATCACCTTATCTCATTTCCATAACTTTACACTTGCTCGTGTTGAACTCCAGTACCCATTTCTCCGACCATCTCTGCAACATGTTCAATTCCTCATGGAGGATCCTACAGTTCTCATCAGTCACAACTCGACTCACTAATTTCGCTTCATCCGAAAGCATCAACAAGTAAAATTTAACTTCTGTAGACATGTCATTTTCATATCAATGCGAAATATAATTGTTTCCAGTACCGATCCTTGTGGTACTACACTCGTTACTGTTCACCCGTCTGACTTTTCGCCCCCTGACTGTTATTCTGTGGTTCCTGCCTGTTAGGTAATTACCCATCCTAGGGCTTTTCTACTTATTCCCATCTGCCTCCCTAGTTTGTACTAGTACGCCATGTATTGTACTGACCTAGTTCTGAGTTCTGTGCTCCATGGTATTTCTTTTAGGACTTTTCTCATCTTCTCATAATTCCCATTTTGGTACGCCAGCCCTTTGCTTTCTATTTCTTTCTTGGGAGAGATAACTGCTAACCCTACAAGGTACTCAAATATCAGTACACTCTGATCACTCATTCCCAAGGGGGGCTTCCAGCTTAACTTCCCTTATATCCGACAACTCATTCAGGGTGAATATCAGATCAAGCCTAGCTGGTTCGTCTTCTTCTCTCATTCTTGTCGGTCCCTTGAAGTGTTGGCTTAGAAAGTTTCTTAGTGTCACGCCCAGCGGCTTAGCTCTACATGTGTCTGGTCCTCCATGTGGGTCTCTGCTCTCTGATAAGCAGTCTAGATCTGTTCTTGCTAGCTACAGAAGCTGCTCTCTCTATTATCTTAATGGTGGCCCATGATGTTTTTATCATATTCCTGTCTAGGTCTCCTGTCATTTGGTGGTGGCTTTTATATGACGATTACAATAAGTTTTTGTCCTCCAATTGGAATGGTATCTGTTATGTAGTCACAGAACCATTCACAGCCATGAATAACCATCTCCTCAGAACTCCAGTCTTTTCATATCAGTAGAGCTACTCCACCTCCACCTCTTTCTTCCCTCTCCTAACTTCATTATTTTCCTATGGAAGCACTGCACTTGTTATGATTTTCGCTAGTTTTGTGCATGAGAGTTCTATAATGTCTGGGGTTTTTACTTGCGACCATTCTCCAAGTTCACTTATTTTATTTGTAATCCCATCAACGTTTGTGTTTATTGCCTTCAAGCTCACTTTCATCTGTCAATTTTCCTTGTATCTCCCACTTGAAGACCTTTCTTCCGATGAAGGAAGTTGTTCCATGGGAGTTGAAATTTGTGAGATTGTTAACAGGGTCTCAGAGGATTCTTGGGAAAGAGATAGGGGGGTTAAAGGAAAAGGGGGGACATGAAGGGTATTGGGTGAGGGTTTTGGATAAGCATTTGAAACGGTTTTTAAGCAAACACACACACTCATTCAAACGCGCGTGCGTGTGTACTCACCTGGTTGTTCTCACCTAGTTGTGCTTGTAGGGGTTCAGCTTTGGCTCTTTTGCCCCCCCCCCCCTCTTGACCGTCAATCAACTGGTGTACAGATTCGGGAGCCTATTGGGCTCTATCATATCTACTTTTAAAACTGTGTTTGGAGTCAACCTCCACCACATCACTGCCTAATGCATTCAATTTGTTAACTACTCTGACACTGACAAAATTATTTCTGATGTCTCGGAGGCTCATCTGGGTACTAAGTTTTCCACCTGTGTCCCCGTTTTCGTGTTCCACCCGTTCTAAAGAGTTTGTCTTTGTCTACCCTATCAATTCTCCTGAGAATTTTGTAGGTGGTTATCATGTCTCCCCTTATTCTTCTGTTTTCCAGGGACGTGAGCTCAGCACCCTTAGCCTTTCTTTGTAGTTCGTACCTGTCAGTTCCGGATCTAGTCTGTTGGTATGCCTCTGAATCTTTTCTAACTTTGTCTTGTGTTTAACTAGGTATGGACTCCAGGCTGGAGCTACATATTCCAGGATTGGTCTGACATAGGTAGTATACAGGGTTCTGAACGATTCTTTTCACAAGTTTCAAAAGGCAGTTCTTATGTTGGCCAATCTAGCATATGCCGCTGATGATATCCTTTTGAAGTGGGCCTCTGGGGACAGGTTAGGTGTGATATCAACCACCAGATCTTTCTCTCTATTTGACTCTTGCAGGATCACACCTCCCAGATGGTATCTTGTGTTCAGCCTTCTGTTCCCTTCGCCTAATTTCATTTCATTATTTTGCACTTTCTTGAGTTGAACTTTAGTAGCCATTTTCTAGATTCTGAATTCTGAACAAACTGAATATCTTAAATTTGTCCAGGTCGACCTATAGTCTCTGTCTATCTTCATTTGTCGTGATTCGTCTCATATTTTTTGCATCATCTGCAAACACTCAGAGGAATGAGTGTGTGTGTGTGTGTGTGTGTGTGTGTGTGTGTATGTGTGTGTGTGTGTATGTGTGTGTGTGTGTAATGTACTATTTTAGCCATGCAAGACCGACGTATTAGCTGTGTGTGTGTGTGTGTGTGTAATGTACTATTTTAGCCATGCAAGACCGACGTATTAGCTGTGTGTGTGTGTGTGTGTGTGTGTGTGTGTGTGTGTGTGTGTGTGTGTACTCACATAGTTGTACTCACCTAGTTGTGTCTGCAGGATCGAGCATTGACTCCTGGATCCTGCCTTTCGAGCATCGGTTGTTTACAGCAATGACTCCTGTCCCATTTCCCTATCATACCTGGTTTTAAAATTATAAATAGTATTTGCTTCCACAACCTGTTCCTGAAGTTCATTCCATTTTCCCACTACTCTCACGCTAAAAGAAAACTTCCTAACATCTCTGTGACTCATCTGAGTTTCAAGCTTCCATCCATGTCCCCTCGTTCTGTTACTATTCCGTGTGAACATTTCGTCTATGTCCACCCATTCATTACCTATCAACATATAGTGACCGCCAGATTTATCATACTGAGGAGGAAGAGAGATCAATAACTGTGTCACAAAGTAATGATAACCTCATCTGCTTGCCTGTATGGAGGCGGGAGGAGGGGGGGGGTAAGAGTGGTCGCTCTACGTAAATAAACACGACTGTTATTTGTGTGGGTCATCAACTCCTAACTAGAAAACGAAGACCCGATAAATATATGTGTTCCCTTGAAGTCATGACAAATTAAAGAATGCATAGGTCATATTATCTCAAAAAAATAAAAATAGAGTCAAGAAACTTTGCGTATTAATAACCAGCTCCGTAAGGCACGTGCTGAAGAAACTAATGAATATAAACTACAGGTACAGAAAAATCCTGAGTTGAAATACAGTGCCTGTACCCGCTACAGGTACAGTAAATGTTGGCTTTAAGAACAGTCTAATTTCTCTCAAACTGACCACAGAAAAACAAAAATAAATGAATGGCCCCCATTTAACTTTTCCAACAAATAATCAACGACATGTATAAAACCCAAAAACCAACACATTGTTGATTGAAGTTATGATTTCGTAAAGCCACCATTTGCGTAGCGGGATTTAATTAAATCTCTTTTGGCACCACTCTAATCGGATTACGATAACGTGCTGAAATATGTAGCATTCGTGACAGTGGAGAAAAACATAAAAAAATCGGCAGTATTGCATTCAAATGTTTTGAATTTTTGTCCTAAGATTTTGTTAACACAGTTTAATGCATTATTCACTCCGAATTATGATAATTCTGCACAAGTAAAAGCAATAAATGGCCAGATGTATTGAGTGAAAACTCTGCCACAATGGTCAGATGTATTGAGTGAAAACTCTGCCACAATGGTCAGATGTATTGAGTGAAAACTCTGCCACAATGGTCAGATGTATTGAGTGAAAACTCTGCCACAATGGTCAGATGTATTGAGTGAAAACTCTGCCACAATGGTCAGATGTATTGAGTGAAAACTCTGCCACAATGGTCAGATGTATTGAGTTAATAAGTCTGCCACAATGGTCAGATGTAATGAGTGAAAACTCTGCTACTCTGGTCAGATGTATTGAGTGAAAACTCTGCCACAATGGTCAGATGTATTGAGTGAAAACTCTGCCACTTGGGTCAGATGTATTGAGTGAAAACTCTGCCACTTGGGTCAGATGTATTGAGTGAAAACTCTGCTACTATGTTCATGTGATATGAAGGAGTTTAAACTGCCACTACAGGCAGGTGTGTAAATGCTCACGTGTCCCCACAATGGTCGAGTAGGTGTTCCTCTATGCTCTTGTGTATAGTTCCCTACTAGATGTTAATTTATACTGACACTGAATTATAATTAAACTATATATATATATATATATATATATATATATATATATATATATATATATATATATATATATATATATATATATAAATAAATAATATATTTATTTTTATTTTTATTTATTTACAAAGAATGAGGTGATTTGGTAAAATGCTATGCCAAGATAACTATCCGAGTGCCGGCGGTGGGGTGGTTCATATAGCCTCGGCTATCACCTCATTATGTCCGGTCGTGATGGTCAAGTGGATTAAGGCGTCTTGTACATACCAGTTGCGTTGCTTCTGGGAGTATGGGTTCGAGTCACTTCTGGGGTGTGAGTTTTCAGTTGCATATGTCCTGGGGACCATTCAGGCTTGTTCGCATTTGTGTTCCTCACGTGTGCCCCAAAGAATGAGGTGATTTGGTAAAATGCTATGCCCAAGATAACTATCCGAGTGCCGGCGGTGGGGTGGTTCATATAGCCTCGGCTATCACCTCATTATGTCCGGTCGTGATGGTCAAGTGGATTAAGGCGTCTTGTACATACCAGTTGCGTTGCTTCTGGGAGTATGGGTTCGAGTCACTTCTGGGGTGTGAGTTTTCAGTTGCATATGTCCTGGGGACCATTCAGGCTTGTTCGCATTTGTGTTCCTCACGTGTGCCCCAAAGAATGAGGTGATTTGGTAAAATGCTATGCCCAAGATAACTATCCGAGTGCCGGCGGTGGGGTGGTTCATATAGCCTCGGCTATCACCTCATTATGTCCGGTCGTGATGGTCAAGTGGATTAAGGCGTCTTGTACATACCAGTTGCGTTGCTTCTGGGAGTATGGGTTCGAGTCACTTCTGGGGTGTGAGTTTTCAGTTTGATATATATATATATATATATATATATATATATATATATATATATATATATATATATATATATATATATATATATATATATATATATATATATATATATATATATATTTCATAAAATTAGCATAAGCTAGCATAAGAGTTTCAAGATTTACAATGCTTCTATATAACCTGATGTGTGTATTTGCAGAGGTCAGGCCCGTCAAGCCCCTCCTTCCCTCCAATACATAATCTTGGTTAACTTTACATAATCTTGGTTGACTTTACGTAATCTAGGTTGACTTTATCACTAGATTTATTTCTACTACTACAGGACCCTATGACCACCCCCCTGGCCCCGCCCATCGCCCCGCCCCCAGCTTACGATACGCCCACATCGTCTCTCGCCTCAGATATGATGGCAATCGTCCCACTGGTGGTTGAGACGGTCTCCATCACACCCAACGCCTCCCTGCACGCCCACGCCAGCCCGCCGCCCGACCAGTACCAGCCCAAGACCTTCCCGTCCTCCTTCACCAGCGACCGCATGGAGAGTGCGGTGTGAAGGGAGGAAGATGAGCGACAACGAGCACGTTCGTAAAGGCATCCTACATACATCCTCTTCCTCCGGGAATCCTAGCCAGTCAGTGAGATTCCGTGCAGAGACTGAGATTAAACCCCCCCTAGTTGTTTGTTGAGAGTTATGTCCTTGGAGTTCGACGACTCGGAGTTCGAACACTCGGAGTTCGACGACTCGGAATTCGAACACTCGGAGGAGAGTGTTTGAACGTTTTTCGTTATTTTTTTTAGCCAGCCAGAGCTAACGAGGCTGGCTGCATGATGCTTTAGCGTGTATACTTTACATAACGACATTTGTACATGTACAGAGACATATGGTGTTTGTCATGGGCATCTCTTACTTCATATTTATAGTGTGTGATTGAATCATTTAAGAGTATAGGTCATCTCTCGATTTCTTAGACAACGCAGAGATAAAATGGGACATTTCCGCCATTAATTACTTGTAAAATGACTCGAGATGAAAGTCAACAACCAATCATATTGGTCTCGCATACACCAGGTATAGAGGTTCACAGGTACACAGGTTTACAGGTACACAAAGCTACAGGTACACAAGACCACACGTATACAAGCTTACAGGTATACAAGCTTACAGTTACTCAGCTTACAGGTACACAAGGCTACAGAGACACAAGCTAACAGGATACACAAGTCTAGAGGTACACATACCCACAGGTATGTGGGTATGTGTACACATGACAACAGGTACTCAATCTTTCAGGTACACTAGACCACAGTTACACAAGCTTGCAGGTACAGGAACTTTCCCATCACCTGTGTCTCTCCATCCTCTTTACTCCGGAAGAAAAAACTCCCCCGCTTGTTCCCTGTCTCTCTGTCTCTCTGTCTCTCTCTGTATCCTCTGTCTCGCATACATCACTAGACTGGTCTACACCCCTGACAAGGTCAACACACCCAGTGCCACCCCACCACTGGTCTACACCCCTGACAAGGTTAACACACCCAGTGCCACCCCACCACTGGTCTACACCTCTGACAAGGTCAACACACCCAGTGCCACCCCACCACTGGTCTACACCCCTGACAAGGTCAACACACCTAGTGCCACCCCACCGCTCTCACACTCTCCTTCTCTCTCTGGCTCTCGCTATCCCTAGCTCTCTCCCTGCCTCTCTCCCCCTGTCTCTCACTCCTTTCCCTCTCAAATACTCTCTGTCCCTCACTGGTTAACCCTACTCCAACATAGCAGGAAAAGCAACAAACATGGTTGGGGGATAGACCACTGGCATATAGGAAGGCCAGACTGACCCAATTAAGGATATGTTCATCTATACATGAAGGAAAATCAGAGAAGAGTTGCAAGAAATTAAAAAAGTAATAAGCAGTCTACAAGGCAAGCTGTTACCAGCCAACGAGGAGATAAGAAGCCTCAAACAGAACTCTACTTGGGCTCAGCATCAGATACCAATCCCATTATAAGATGGAAATATATTAATGGAAGGGACTGTCATGGTACGTGACGCATTCTCAGAAATGCTAAGAAAGAGCTCCGAAGCAAAGTCTACAGTGAATGAAGCAGCCTTACATTGTGATTACCCTGCGATGATTTTGGGGCTTAGCGTCTTCGCGGCCCAGTCCTCGACCAAGCCGCCTCATTGCTGGACTGGTCAACCAGGCTGTTGGACGCAGCTGCTCACAGCCTGACGTATAAATCCCAGCTATGAAAGCAGCTACCTCACAGGGAGCAGGAAGGTGCACTAGTCGGCTGCTGGAAAGGAAAAAAGTCAGTGGTAGCAGTGGGCATTAAAGAACAAGAAAGCACCAGTAAGACGGAATAGAAAGTTAAAGACAGAGAGCCAGTGAGAGAGATCCTTAAAGGGTAACAGATGGAAGGGGGCTGAACATAACATAGAGAAGGTTTCAGGCTAGGCTTGTACAACAAGGACAGAGATCGACTGATAAAGATCGTTTTTATGAACGAGGCCACGACGGAGGAAATTCGAGGAAGGAAGACCAAATGTTTAAATGAGAGAAGACAAAAAAAGTATTCCTTCAGAAAGATATGACAAGGGAGGAGAGAATCATGGCAGAAGATGCAAGGAAGAAGTGCAGGGAGAGAAGAGAGAGAGAGAGAATCAAGGAACCACAGTTCCCAGCCCAACAATCCCAGAGGGGGTGTGGGGAAACTCCCAACCAGCAGCTTAGCAACCCCAGAGAAGAGGGCAACACCTCCACCTTTCTCCCAAAAGAAACCTTCCTCCTCACCCTGAACCATCCATGTCCCCATTCAAATGCTCATTCAACCCCCCCCCCCCCCCCCCCCCTTCCCCCTCACCCCATACCCACCCAGTTCCCCCTTCCCTTGGCCCTCCACCCCGAATAAAAGAAGCACTGTTAACCATCTCATCAATTTCTACACCCATGGAACAACTTCCTACACAGTCCGAATGCCCACCATAGAAGAGGCAACAACAATGGAAAGAAGAAAGTGAGCTTCAAGGCAATATACTCAAACATAGATGGAATTACAAATAAAACAAGAGAATTTGGTGAAAGGTCTCATGACGAAAACTCAGACATAATCACACTAACAGAAACAAAACTAAAGAAAGTCATAACAAATGCAGTGTTTCTGCAGGAATACTATGTAGTAAAGAAAGAGAGGGAAGGGAGAGGTGGGGGTGTAGTAGCCCTGCTGATAAGAAAAGACGAGAGATGTTTTGAAGAGATGGTTATCCAGGGCTGTGAATTGTTCAGTGACTACATAATAGGAACCATAGCAAATGAAGGAAAAGAAATAATAGTAGTAGTAATATATAACCCCAACCAAATGAAAGATATCCAGACAGGAGTATGATAGAAACAACATGGCTGACATTAATATAATAGAGAGAGCAGCTTCCGTCACAATCAGGAATGGATCCTGATTGCTAATCATAGGACAGTTCAACCATGGGAGATAGATTGGGAGAACAGAGACCCGCATGGAGGACCAGACACATGGAGAGCTAAGCTGCTGGACGTGGCAACTAGAAACTTTCTAAGCCATCACGTCAAGGGACCCCCACAAGAATGAGAGAAGACGAGCCAGCAATGCTTGATCTGATAATCACCTTCAATGAGTCAGATATAAGGAAAGTTAAGTTGAAAGCCCTCCCTTGGGAATGTTTGAGTTACCAAGTGGACTTGTGTACATGGACTGTGGACGGGTTGCATAAACAAACGCTCAATTCTAACTAATTCAGCCATCAAACCAGTTGTTTATAAATTAAAAAAACTAAAAAATTCTAACCCGTCCTCAGTCTATACTCACTCCATCCAGCGCCTGACCACAAAAACGCAATAATATATTTTAACATGCTGTTCATTCAAAATAGGAATTTTCACAAATATAATTAGAATTGTTATATGTTAGCTTATTGTGCATATTTAGGCATTGGTTAGGTGTTTAGGCTCTGTTGGCGAATATTTGTATTTGTAGTACCACGGTGAAGCATTAACAGAGTTCCAATTCGAACAAAATTCGTCAGTGAATCACTGTTTGAGAAATGTTCGAACGTCATCAGCTGTGAGTCGTGTGCAAATAGTTTTTCATTGATGAAGAAAGGGTTGGGCGGGTGCATGGAATCACTTTTGGCTTTCACGAGGACGGGCTGCACGATTCACAACTGATGACGTTCGAACATGTCTCGAACAGTGCTTAGCTAACGACCTTTGCTCGAATCGTTCCACCCTAAATGCTTCACCCACATACTAAAAATACAAATAATTGCACACACATAACCTCACCTAATTTAGATGTAACTATACACCATCTTTTTATACATATTGGAAGATAATTTTTCTATGAGAAAGTACTTGTTCTGGATATACACAGTACATTAACATTGATGAATACGTGATTGAGGGTGGCCACTACTTGGACGCTCATTGCCTGTAACCGGTTGCTGTGTTGTGTGTATTCATTCACGAACAAGGGATTAGGTTGTTGAATTACCTATAATATGATATTTGCCGATAAGAACGATATGCTTATTACGTCGGTTGTGTTCGTGTTAACGGGCTGTGTTAATATGGAACAGTTGTGTTCGTGAGAACTAGCTAATTCACATGATTCGTAGATTATATCTTCACCCATGTGGCTGAAAAAGAAATAGTTACCAACCGAATTAAAACATCTACTCTAACCTCTCCTAGGACAAACTATACATAAAATTATTATACACAATAATGTTTTTTTATGTTTTTGAGAATTCTTCGTAATTTGTATACAAAGTACTTAAAATTTAGTAAGCGTCTTTCGGGTGGGCCTGAGCCTCGACGAGCATAGTGTTAAGACCAGCCGTCGTAAGCACAGCACAATTCAACTCGAAGTTTGTGAAGATTCTTCATGCGAAAAGCTCAAGATATCAGCCAGAAGTTCAGAATTCAATTGCTGGATATTTTGCATATCCAGATGAAGATTAACTTCACAACGTTCTTTTCTTAATTACTTGTCGATATGATGCTCAAGGATGATGAGCAATGATCCAAAAAATAAAACCGATTAGCGAGAGGTTTATTGTACATTGGGGTTTATTGTAGTTTGGTTTAAAAAGAACTTCCAGTTCTTTAAACAGTCGCTGTGGCCAGGTGGTGAAAGTACTGGACACGCTAAGGTGCATGGAGCCCCATGGCTATCTGGGTTCGAATCCTTCAGGGGTGAGGAGTTTTCTGTTGCATATTGGCTTGGGGACCATTCAATCTTCTTTACTTTATATATATATATATATATATATATATATATATATATATATATATATATATATATATATATATATATATATATATGTTGTACCTAGTAGCCAGAACGTCGTACTCGGCCTACTATGCAAGACCCGATTTGCCTAATAAGTCAAGTTTTCCTGAATTTATATATTTTTCTCATTTTTTCTTATGAAATGATAAAACTTTCCATTTCATTAATTATAAGTTAATTTGTTAAAATTTGAGTTAAAACTAACGTAGAAATATAACCTAACCCAGCCTAATCTATCTAAACCTAACCTAAACTAACACAAATAAGTCAATAATTTATGTTCCTAATATAATATAATAATTATAATTCAAATAAACTAATTGGAAACTATTGCAAATAAAGAAAATCACTCGGCCTATTAGGCAAATCGGCCTTGCATAGTAGGCCGAGAAGTGCGTTCTGGCTACTAAGTACGACATATATATATATATATATATACCTCAGAGATTTTACTGTGTGCGTCCTCAACAAAATTATTTGAAAGTTTTATAATTACAACTTTGTTTATAATTTATTGTCATTGTTCAATTAATCACTCAACAACTGACCATCACGCAGTACTCATCAAAACAGAGGCCGGTACCGTAGCCACATTCATCAATATCGTCATCCTGTGTATTCAAAATCTGTATTGTCTGAGATATATGTTGATGTTATTATACATATATTTGAGAATTTTTTGCTGGTTCTTAGGCTTTGGTTTGATTAAAGGGTTTGCTTTTGTTAGCAGTTTGTTTGCATAAGTACCCGTCCTTAGGTTATGTGAAATCCATCCAGCGGTCGACCCCAAAGACGCATTTTTCATGCTGTTCATTCAAGTTACAATATTTCTTACAAACAACTTAATATGATTAAATTGAATATATTGTGCATATTTTAGCGAGGGTTAGATGTGGTTATGTGTTTAGATTTGCTCGCAATTATTTAGATTTGTTGTACCAGAGTTGCAATTCGAACAGAGGTCGTGAGTGAAGCACTATTCGAGAAATATTCGAACGTCATCAGTTGTGAGTCTTGTGTAAAAGCGTTATTTTTTTTATTCAGCCCGTCCACATAAACCAACCCGTCCTAATAAACAAAGGCCAAAGTCCATTCCATGCACCCGCCAAACCCCCTGTTTGTGTGTGAAAAAACGGTTTACACACGACTTACATCTAATGACGTTCGAACACTTCTCGAACATGTGCTTCGCTTACGACTTTTGTTAGAACCAAAACGCTGTAAAAGTTTCACCCACGTACTACAAATACAAATAATCACAACATAACCTAAACACCTAACCTAATCAATACCTAAATGTGCACAATACGCTAACATATACCAATATTAATTTATATATGAGAAAATTTCAATTTTGAATGAACAGCATGTTAAAAATTATGAATGAGTCTTTGGGGTCGAGCGCTGGATGGAATGAACATAGAGCGATGACAAGTTATTTTATTCATAAACATGGGGTCTTGTTGCTAGAGCAATGAGCATTCTGTTATTGTTAATGAGGCCGAACCAAGGTGAACCCATAGTTATATTTTTCTCACAAGACATTCCATTTTCGAACATTAGTAATTAGTTACCTGTCGATATGTCGGCTCACACACGACATATTGAAAGTATGACGTAATATACATTTTACGTCATATATACACGTCTGTGTTTTGTTCAATTTGGTACAAGTCAAAGACGCCTTGTCTGTGTACAGCGGTATGTTTATGTATCCATAATACATATTACTGTTTGTATTATTATTATTATTGCAAGCGATGAGTCACAAAAACGTGGCTGAAGTATGTTGACCAGATCACACACTAGAAGGTGAAGGGATGACGACGTTTCGGTCCGTCCGGGACCACTCTCAAGTCGATTGTGAGTCGACTTGACTTGACAATCAACTTGAGAATGGTCCAGAACGGACCGAAACGACGTCGTCGTCCCTTCACCTTCTAGTGTGTGTTCTAGTCAACATATTATTATTGTTAAGTATTGTTTTAAAATCCCGCTTTAACACACAGTTTAGTGGACGGAATTTCACTTCATGACATTGGTCAGTTGCATAAAGATTTTTCGAGTGGGGTGTTCTGTATCTGGTTGACTCTAAAGCTCATTATAGGCCGTCTTTATACACTCATATATATATATATATATATATATATATATATATATATATATATATATATATAATATATATATATATATATATATATATGAATGAAAAACTCACACCCCAGAAGTGACTCGAACCCATACTCCCAGAAGCAACGCAACTGGTAACTACAGGGCGCCTTAATCCGCTTGACCATCACGGCCGTCAAAAGGAAGTGATAGCCGAGGCTATTTGAGCCACTTCCCCGACGGCAACTCGGAAGTGGCTCAAATAGCCTCGGCTATCACTTCCTTTTGACGGCCGTGATGGTCAAGCGGATTAAGGCGCCTGTAGTTACCAGTTGCGTTGCTTCTGGGAGTATGGGTTCGAGTCACTTCTGGGGTGTGAGTTTTCATTCGCATATAGTCCTGGGGACCATTCAGGCTT